AGGTAAGAACACTGCCTGCTTTGCAGAGGACCCAGGTTTGGTTCCCAGCACCCACATGGTAGCTAACAACTATCTGAAACCCCAGTTCCAGGGGATCCAATGCCCTGGTGCAGAGGCCACCCTACGGGGGACCCCACCCAGTGACAGTAGATCGGAGGCATAGAGTGAAGACTCTGGGGGCTTTTGGGTCTAGTAACAAGTCCACTTTATTAAAAGTCCAAGAAGTTTTTATCCAGAGGAGGAACTAGCAGTTATGTATGGCCCTTGCACTTACATAAAAAGCATCAGAATATTTTTAGATGAAAAATAGGAACAGTAACTTTTAGCTGATGCCAGCTAAGACAAATACAAAGCAGGATGTTTAGACCTTACTCAGGATTATTGTATGTGCTTGGTGATTTATTGATCAAGATGTTTACTTGCTTAGACAGGGAAGTTAAGATACCTTTCTTAGAAAAAGGAACAGTCGGTCTTTTTGATCTGGCCAGCTCCCTCTACTAATCATGCAGCTGTTCCACATGTCAGGGTCTTAAGCCTCCTGTGTTCAGGGTCTCACCCACAAGCAGAGGTTATGGTTTGATCTCAGGTCTTGGGTCCCACTCATTCAAAGACAGGTCATCCTAATATCCAACACCCTGGCACAGATGGTACACTTACATACATGCAGGAAAAACACTCATTTATATAAAGTGAAAAGTAATAAATAAAAAAGGGGATTTATTAGATTGATTTACAAAATATGATTTGAGTAGTCTAACAATGGCTGTCTTCACAGTGGAAAGGCTAAGAATTTAGTATATCTCAGTCCACGAAGTTGAGTGCCTCAGTGGTCCCAACCTGGCACTGAAGACCTGGAGGATTCTTAGAGCACTCTGTCTTCAGTCCACATCAGAAGCCCACTGAAGCTGAGTTCTAATAGCTCCAGCAGTGGTGGCTGTAGTGGTAGCCATGGTGGTGGCTGTGGCAGTAGCAACAGCAGTGGCAACAAGAGGATAGAGAAATTTTCCAGTGTGATATGAGGGCAAGGGGGCAAAAAGTCTCAAGTTTTTTCTCTCAGAACTCCTTTTATCTGTGCTGTTACCAAAAGGTGCCACCTACATTTAGGTTGGGTCTTTCTACTTCAAGTAATCTGATAAGAAAATTCCTCACAGGTATGCCTCAAAGCTTGTCTGTTAATTGAGTCCAGATCTAATCCAGTTGACAACCAACATTGACCATCACAATGGCCTAAGTTTATATTATGGAAAACTTGGAAATTTGAGCTGAAATTTAAAACATGGAAAATTTTGAGACAGAAAAGGAAGATTTGCCAACTATGGGGAATGACAAGAAGAAGATCCAAAAGCAGAATGAGCCAGGTGTGGTGGCACACGCCTTTGATCCCAGCACTCAGAGGCAGAGGCAGGTGGATCTCTGTGAGTTCAAGGTCACCCTGGTATGCATAGTGAGTTCCAGGGCAGCTGGGGTACAGGGAGACCCTGTCTCAAAAAGACCCCCCCAAAAAAAGCAGAATGTGTGTGTTTATGACTGAAAGAAACAATGGTAATACTCTCTTGATAAAACTCTCTGAATCCCCTCTTCCTCTCTCTGTCTCTTCTCTCATCTCTCTCCCTGTCACGATTAAGTTTACATTAAAGTTTTTTTCTTGGGGCTGGAGAAATTGCTCAGTGGTTAAGAGCACTGGCTGCTCTTCCAGAGAAGCTCCGAGCAACACCCATGTGACAGCTCACAACTGTTTGTATCTCCGGTTCCAGGAGGTCTAGCAACCTCTTCTGGCCTCCACAGGCATTACATGATGAGTACACTCAGTGCAGGCAAAACATTCAGACACATAAAATAAAAATAAATAAAAGAAAATTTTAAAAATATTTTCCTAATGAATTCCAGTTTTGCTCCATAATATCTCGTCTGGAAATTATTTTATACAGCATAAGTCAAGACCCGAGCTTCACCGGTGTACCAGTGGAAAGATCTCAAGCTGTCAGGCTGCACAACTGGTCATGTTGAACTGTGTCCAATGCTGCTATTGGCATGCTTTTAGGGACCTAGCCTTGAATTCTCTGAAGCATTGCTAAGCAAAGAATCTCACTCTTAATCCCAAAGGTAAAGATGATGATGGTAACAGCAATCCTACAAGCAGATGTCCCTTGGTCTTTTGACAGCAGAACAAGAGGGAACCTGTGGTCTTATTAAAGTAGACTGTTATATA